GTGGCTACAGTGGTCGGACAAACTCAGCTCAGGGTGTTTCTACTGATGGAGTTTCCTGAAACCTCACGGCCCTATATGCACTGTTTCCAAAAACACCACCCTCTAGTCTTAAAAGAGATCTTGCGAAGGGTAAGTTCTGGAGCTTGCAGAGCCAGCGCGTTCAGCCTGGGGAAAAACAAAAGCGGTGGAGAGAAAGCAGGCTGGATTCCCGCCCCTCATCCTACACCTCGGAGTTTCTCTCAGGGCCCCGGGTTTCCAGCCAGGCTCCCAGGTAGGGCCTGAAACTGGCTACTTGGTCCCCAAAAGCTTCTTCTTCCAGACGTATGTGCGGCTAGTATCTGTGAGAACTCTAGACTGCCAGAGACCCACAAAAACTGAGAGGGTCCTCGGGGCAAGAGAAGTTACGTATGGGAAAAAAAGGCTGTTGAATTAGGAGAAATGCGGACCGTAAAGGACTACTGGGCAGCTTAACTATCACGATTTGAAATGTCACTGCTAAATTCTTCGCTGGAGAGTGTGGGTCAAATCGATGACCTCCTTTCCTAGAGATTTTTATTTTTAGGAAGATGTATGACATACTTCTGTCTAGGTTGGTTTGCATAGTAGGAAAAGCAGAATGGATGAACCTTGGGGCCTTTCCAGGGTTATGTTCCCATGTAGTGTTCTCTTCTGCCTGGGAGGCCCTCGCCTTTCTACCCACGCAGCGAACTTCTGCTCACCCTCCAAGCCCAAGCATAACTTCTCTGGCGAAGCTTTCCCTACCTGACGGTGGGATTAGGAAGTTTCTCCTCTCTGTGCTCAAAAAAAATCTAAAGCCCATGTTCATTAGCAGCAGTCATTTCAAAACGCAACTATGTGTTTGTTCTTGACTTTGACTTCTGTGTTCACTCACCTTGTATTATATGGCATCACTGGGGGGTACAAATATCACAACCAATATTTGGTGGATGAATAAACCAAGGTTGAACTGTGAATTTGAAGGAGCATCAATTTCTACAAATATAGCAGTTTGCTTTAGTAGGTGGTTCTATTTCAACAAAAGTGTGTGTGTTTTTGTACTTTATATAAAATCCATCACAGTTCTCTGAGCCTTCGGTTTGGACTCTCCTAAGGTGATGCGTCTGGTTGTCAATACACAAAGGAACCCTCTCTCATTACCAGTCATACTAGAGATCTAGGGTAACGCAAATGAGGGAGCTCTCACAACTTTTCTCTTTCACAAATTAGGAACTATAATCGTTTGCAGCATTTCCCGTGATTTCTATAGAGTAACCTGGCCCAGTGGTCAAAGTCACACTTCCAACTGTTTATTCTCTGGTATCTCTAGTCTAGTCATAAGGATCCTCAAAAACAGCAAGGGACAATTTAAAGAAAATGTGAAGAAAAAAACATGATCCCCATCTATTTCACTTTGAGGGCCTAATCCAGCATGTATTTAAGAAATGAATTTGGGGGGGGGACTTATACGCAATATAATATCATATGCCCTTTTCCTCTTAAAAAAAAAGTCTCTTTGTCATATGTAATGAATATCTTTTGTACTCTGAGTGGATTACCTGATGTGGCCCAACACAAAGCAGGATTCAAACCCTTAAGTATCTTAATCCCTTAAACATTGTTCCTTATAACCACATCAATTTCTTATTAGATGAGCATAACACTAAAAATGAGAAACAATTAATAAAAAATAACAAAACTCACTTTATTATAAATATTAGAAAGTAAAATACAGAAATCTACCAACTAATGCAGCATTCCAATTGGTCATTTCAAAAGATGGTCTATATTAGGAAACTTCTTGAGCAAAACACTTCCCATATAGTTTAATTTCTTATACACATTATGACAAGAATACACGTTTTTAAATGTACTTTAAAAATAATTAAAGCAAGCCATCTTTGTCATTCCCACCTTACCCCATGATTAACTGCAGTGCAAGAGGAGGGAAAAAATTACTAAAATATCCATTTATTTATTCCCTCATAGCTGTTACCTCCCCCTCACCCCCAACTCCAATATTTCAGTTCTTTAACTTTAACTACACCTCCACCCTAACTTCTAGAAAGTGGGTCAGTCCAGTTTAGCTGGCCACTAAGAACAGGGTAAGTAGCCGCTGAGCATCGTTGGCATGCCCTGCTCCTTCACAGACTCAGTTATTACGTTAAGTTTTTGCCTTCCCATATTTTTCATCTCCTAGACCTCCCTATGAAGGTACTTTTTTCACCTTCTACACAGATCAGCAAGGTACGTGAGCCCATCCAATACGCTGGACAGCCTACTGAAAGAAACATGAACAAGGTAGAACTTTCTCAGATCTCAGTCCCATAGGATTTAAGGTCCTCTCTCTCTCTAATTGCTATTTATTCTATAAAGCACTCATTTGGCATTTCTTATGCCCCTTGCCCTCCTCTCTGAATGTTTCTTCAAGAAGCAAGTCCTTGAAGGTGAAATAGACCTTAAGTCCTTTTGTCCCCAGAGTGTCTCCATGTGCTTAGCAGGCGCCTTGTGGGTGGTAGTAGTGGGGACCATTCCCCTCTGTTCTCTGGTTAGAAGAGAGGGCCCAGAACGGTCTCCTACTCATAAACGTTCAGACCATTTTTCAATTCACACTATAATCCATTGCAGTGGGGTGTGGTGGGCAAAAAGGTATTATCTCCAGTGTAATGCTGATCAGCTCAGTGGCAGCTGCTCTGAAGAGCTGGCTTAAGGAAGATAAGGCGACCACATCTGGACTCGGAGTCTGCACTGCTGGATTAGGGACGTCTGCCACACGCATCAGAGGGGCACACTCAGTACTTGCCACCTTGGCTCTAACCACTTCGCCAAAATCTTAGTTCAAGACAGAACATCTTACTGCATATGTTCCTATTCCTAACTGAAGCGTTAGGCCAAAGATACATGATTCAAAGTATTCCAAGTATGTGCCATGTGTAACCCTTTTACATAAAAGTTTGGTGAAGATTCTGCTTCTTGGTGAATTAGGCCCCAGGTCAACACCATGGACCCTGTGTTCCCTGCTCTTCCCCCGGGGCACACAGTGAGAACTGTTCCTGAGAGCATCAGCAGGCACCTGGAAAGTGCTGCTAGCTTTTCTACAAAAGTAAAGGCTTCAAAGCTCTTCCTTCCAGAAGCCACCCCAGCCAGGATCACCTAAGGATTCCACTGGCTGCACAGCTACTCTTTTTCATTCCAGCAGATGCTGCATTCTTCTGTTTAAAGAGTTCCCTTCCCTCATCCTGTGCTCTCCCAGGAACCTGTACATCAAAGACAACCGCAAGATCATGGGGGGCAACGTTCAGGAGACATGGTTTCAGGCTTTTTCTCTTGGAAAAAGTCGTTTCACAATGGCGAGAAGACAAATTCAACGTCTCCCTCCAGGAGAGTAACAAAGTGTCCTAGGGGCTAAGCAAACTCAAAACAGCAGATCAAACCCACTTTTCTTTTGTTTCTAGTATACTGTTCTCCTCAGCCAGGAAAAGCCCTCATTTTCTTTTAATGTAAATAGCTAAGGATCCATTTCATAATTCCTATTTAAAGAAGCACATTACGAAGTGAAGCGCATCATTAAGTGCTGACAACCTCCACTTCTGGCTAATCGCATTTATCATATTTCCAAGGCAATCTTCATCAATTTCCATTTCTCTAATCAAATTATATTGTCTAAAAGCCAATTTTACTTAATACTTGCTGTCCTCTCTGCATCACAGTAACGTGCATCCTTGCTCTCTCTCCACCTCGACTCTTCTAGAGCAGTCATGCCATTAATGAGCTTGACAGTCTCTCCTACTTTCTATCACTGAGAACAAATGGTTAGGCCAGGGTCACTGAAAAGTTCCCTTAAAATTTTTTCAATGGTTATAATGGAATAAAAACCTTTCTGAGATAAAAGTGTGTTCAAATGAGAAAAATAAGTAAAAATGGATTGCTTTTCTCAAGATCTCAAGAAATATTCTTTCTTTGGTGAAAAGGCCATTTGCCTTTAAAAGTTAATGTGGAATCTTCTAAAAGCTTCCCCAAACCCAATATTGGAATCATTTAAATATCTCAGGGAAGGGAAAAAGACAGTGACCCACACATGGGCATTATAGGGTATAAGGGGCAATGGACAGGACTCGACGGGCCTGGAACAGCAGCCCAGAAGATCTGGGGCTCTGAATGAGTTTACATTTTAACCCATCCTGAGTCTTTTCTTCCCTGACTGCAGACTATGGGAGCCCAGGACCCAGAGGTGCAAATGCAGCTGGATGGAAGTCAAGGAGCAAGAGAAGCTCACCTCAAACTGAGGTGAGGACTGAAATTCTGCTGCTACTTTAAGCATCAGCTGAGCCTCTAAAACATATTTTTGAGAAAAAAATTAAAGTTAGGTGGTACTACAAGGTAGTTAAGGGCAGGTCTGTAACATAACATCATCAGGTATATATGGCCAAAATGTGCCCTATTTAGTATGGAATATTAAACTGAATAAAAATGGGGGGAGGGGTTAAAAACAGAACACATTCAAAGACTAAAGGAAATGGGATTTTCTTTCAGCTAAAAGAGATCCAGCTTAACCTTTTTTCTCTATAGGACAGTATCCACTATAGGAGCACCAGTGTATGGAGTGCGGAGAAAGCAAGAACAAATGCATGAAGGGGCTCTGCAAACACATTCTGAAAACTACTGACCTAGTTTCAAAACTTTCTAGGAAACCAAACTTAAAAGTTACGTATCTTTACTAATCAGACATAGCAAATGTGCCATATCTCCAACTATTACCCCCTTTATTTTCGCCACAGAGTTTTACCCGTCTTTAAGTAAAAACAAAACAAAAAGCTACATACTTTTATTTAGCTCAAGAAATTATTTAGGTGCACAGGCAGGGACAGCTCTCACAGGTACACACGGAATACAGTCATTGCCATGAATACATCCTTTACCTTGAAACATGGATGAGCACCCAAAGTAATTTTTTTAAACAAAAATGGGGCCTAAAAATAAGTGCTTAGGCAAAATTCTTGAACAGTAACCAGCCTATTGACGGTAGACCTCGTTAAAGCATCACACAACAATGTGTGTTTACATCACCCTTTTATTTCATAGTTAGAAATAACACAGTTCCACAGGGTAAATCATCAATAAATAACGATGTTTAATCATCAAACGTAAAAATCCCAACTCTTTGGCATCTGACAGGATTCTATTTCTTGTCAAACTAATGACTGTATAGAGATAGTTAATCTTAGTGATCATTCGTCAATACAATATGTTACAAAGGTGCAATTTACGTTAAAGTATCAACAGCTGAAAATTTCCTGCCCACCAAGAAATTTGATCAACTCAGTAAGCTGTGGGCCAACTTCACCAAGGTTCTTTCACATGGTTGCCTCAGAGAAAGCATAATAAATGTTGATTAAGAGTTCCTAGGGTTTTCTAATACTTATTCTGCTTTAAATGGTTCACCATTCATTCTGGCTAAAGAAAAGTCACAACTGCACCAGGAATGGTCCACTCATTAATTAAAAGGTGTTCTTATTTTATAAGCAAGAGTGCTAACACCTAAGAAACTCCCAGCCCCCAAAATAAAATTTAAAATAAGCAGTTCTATTCTGCCAGAAATGCCAATTCTGTAATAAATTGCACCTTCAAGAGTCAAAAAAAGAAATAGAAACTTTTACAAAAGGTAAGTTACATACTTTTTTTTCCAAAATATATTCAAGAATAGTTGAGCTGTATTTGTTACTAAAGCCAGGGCAATATTTCTTTAGCAACAAATTAAACCAGTGCAATTGACATAAATTGTTAAGTAATCCAGGATTAACCCATTAAAACTGTAGAAGCACTTAAGGCTCCTACACTAATCCTAGAAACTGGAATTTCAATGAGTGCTTGTGCTGCAAAAAAACTAAAATTGGATGACCCAATGCCATGCTGAATGGTATCACTTCATACTTTGATTAAGCATTCAATAGTAGAAATCATGAGCTCCTCTATTAAAGTTCCATTCACTTACAGAACATTCAGATGCAAACAGTATTATGCCTATAATTCACAACTAAAAGAATCCTTTCCATTTTAAAGTTTCAGATGAATTTTAAATTAGAAAATAAGCCCAAAGGAAACTTTTTCAACTTATGAAAACTTCATATTGGAAACTTTCTGGAAAAGCTCCCCCATCCCCCACCTATTGTAAAATAAATACTTTGTATCCCAAATTTAATTTTATTAAGACACATGTTAATAACGCTATAAAGAAATATTTTACAGCCATAGAGATCAGTAACTTTCCATGCGGAAATAAAAAATTCATTGCTCAATAATATTATTGAGGCAAGTGAAGAAAGATTATTCTTGTCAATCTGAAATGTTATTTCTTCTTCTTTTCAGTGCAAAACCAGTTATAAAATATTTAAACTCAATATTTAAAAATAAAAAGTGGTCCAATTCAGCAATGTTCAAGTTCTAAATTTCATAAAACAAATCATTACATACATTTTATAGTAAAATACAGAGATTAAAGAAGTACTTGAGTACTTAAGATATAAATTTCTAATGAATCATACCAAGTCAGCAACAACCGAGCAGGTAGCATTCCCAATTTGAGCGTCAGAATCATAAAGATCTTACCGTACCAAAGCCTTTTTTTTCCTAGCTAAAAAGCTATACAAACTAATGGTCAACATTCTGTTTTCTTGTAGTTGCGTGCTCTAGGCGACTTCTCCCCAAGTACCTGTGATTTTATTTCTGTATTCAAAATTTGATCCAAACTATTTTTATGTTCCTGGAACACTTAGCTGATATAACCATCTATAATGCGGAGAGTCCTGTACAGAGTACAACGGTGGGTTTTTCTAGCCGAGTGCAGGCTGCCCTAAACTGGTCTACACGCCCCGCAGGCCATTCATGTGTTATTCCTAGCAAACACACGGTCCCCTCTGAGGGTTAGGTGTTGAAGCTGGTACTGTAGCACTTCTGTGTCGGCTGGCTCCTTGATGTTCATTTTATCTAGATTGAGGTAGTCCAGAGATTTGGAGTGAGCCCTCTTACCTTTAAGAAGACAAAGAGGCAGAGGCCCGTGGAGGGCCTTATAAGGTTCGTAAGGTAAAGACTTAGTGCACTTGTCTCCTGAGCTGGGCATCCGCCTTCGCCTCCTGCCATTGACAGCTGGAATCTCGTATGGCTGGTAGTACCTACTTCTGGTTTTATACAAACGAGAGGAACGTGCAAGTCCCGCATCCAGCTGTTTGGAGCGCAAGGAAGGCACGGCTTCTCCCTTACTCTCTTCACCTCCTGTGCACTTCTGGGCTAACTTCAGGAGTTCCTCACCAGTTGTGAAGCCAACCAAATAGTTAGAGTCCATGTGGAGGATCTGGTAGCCTGAGACTGTCCGGCGCATCGGTGAGCATGGTGTGCTGGAGCAGCGGGGCTTCTCCGCCTCGGCCTTCCCCGGGGAGCTCACCTCGGCCACGGGCAAGGGCAGGGTGCTCAGGGTACTTCTGGTCTCTCCATTAACATCTACTTCCATTTTAGGCACCACTCTGCACACTCCTAAAAGTAGACAGACAGATTAGAAGAGTGTAATGCGCAGAACCTTGGGCAGAGCTGGTTCATTTTAGAAAGTTCAGGCAGCCTGAAAAGCAGCCAGAGTGCAACTGACAGATTTTCATCTGTCCATTAAATGTTTCAGAGCAGGCATGAAATGACTGCTACTTCTCTGCCTCCAAGAACTCAAGGCAGGTTACATTACAGTCAAAGTACTATTAAACAGTTCAGATGGAGAAGCCTACAGAAAACAATACCTCTCTAAATACAGAGCTCCGCGTAATCACTCAAAGTTTGCTCCTTGCTGAGATATTAAGCAAATCAAATACAGATCTCAACATCAAGCAAATAAAAATAATCATACACAGTTTCACAAGAATCCACAAAATCTTTCCAACATGAAAATAAAATCTTTACATTTTTCCATCATTTGATTTAAAATAAGTGCTCGGCTCTTCCACCTGCAATTCTTTGCAACTGTGTTTAAGGGGCATATAATAAAAAGATAAAAGCTGACCCATTTCTGCAAAGATTCCAATTTAGGCCTAAAATTTTTTTCTTATGGTATGGAGAAGTCTTCAGGCAAGGCTTCCCCAAACCTTGTAAAATGTTCCTCCTTCCATATCCCCAATGAATTATTTAAAAATAACCATTTTGTAGTTTAAAAGTTAATCCTAAATCCAATAAATCATTTTAATATTAAACATATATAAAATATTATGTTATCTTATTTGACCATTTAATCATAAAATTATACCATCTAAGAAATTACACTTTTGAACAGTTCAGTAAATGGCAGAGGAGTTCACAATGAATAATAATATTATTCATCATCATAATTGCATTACATTGTTTAGAAAACCCCACTGATAAGAAGTACCACAAATAATGGCCAGGTTCTTAGAAAGTTGCAGATAAATTTTGCAAAATAAAATACTAAGGAAACCAAAATAATAATGCCATCTCTGAGGAACTTTGTATCTACAGATCCTCAGAAGTAGATAACACAGTTTTAATTAAGTATCTCAGATCGCTTACCAAAATGTCAAATAACATTTGATTTTAAGATTAAATATTTATTGAAAAAGGCTATTATATTAAATAATTCTTAAGAATTCTTCTGTAAAACAAAACCTTTTCCTAACTGATGCATTTCCTAAAATTTGGGTTTTCGTTTAAAATCCAAGCAATTAGAAAGCTAAAGAAAAGCCACTATCTGATTCCTTCGCTTGCATACTTGCACTTCCTTCATTAGAAAATAAATAAACCAAGACTAGGCAGTTACTAGACACCATCCTGCCCTCACTACGGTCTACATCTATGGCACAACTGAAAAACTAATAATAATTCCTCAGGTAAAACAAATGCTAAAGGGATCAATACAGTTTTACTTACTTTTTACTCTAAATCTTAGACTATTTCCAATTTTAAATTATCCAAAATACCTTAGCCCCTCAACCCTTCTAGATTTAAAGTAATTGGTTTCATTCTGTTTTATTAATGTAAAAATAAATTTGTATTTGATTCTGTAATTTATTTCTCTATGGAAAGGATGGAAGTAGGTGACTACCAGCCACTTTGATTTGCATACCAAACCCTAAAGACTTATCATCTAATAAACTTTAGAGGGCCATAGGAAGCTTCATCCAATTTTATGCTGAAGGAACAAATGTTTAACTTTAAGCCAAATGACAAACTAACCCTTCCTTTATCACTAATTCTGTTGTCCAGAAAGAGCCCCGGAGAACAGCTTATTGAAGGCCTCCAACCTACATAACCTGACAGGCAGGAAGTGATTCTGATGCTTTATTCTGAAAAGAAAAGCCGAGGGGGCTCAGTGAGGCCAAATAACCAGGGCTGTGGAAGAAAAGAGGAACACACACAGACTGGGCGACCCACCCAACTAGAGTGACCCAAGTGGTGAACCTCATGCATTGGTCACATGAAGTGACGCTGTCCAGGTCTCTTCCAAATCTGGCAGTCTACGGCAGTCCACGGATTTCCACCAGTCACCTTACAGAAGTTGCATCTGGTAAATTATGAACTTCCTAAAATCCATGATTCACACCCTACCCATTCTGAATTGGATAATTCAAACAGAAGCTAGGCCGAAAGTCATCTTTTTTGCCTATAAGGGATAGAAATTGCTAAGCAAGTTAAGCATGTACAAAAAGTCACAGCAAAGAAGAGTGAGCACAGGCTCCTGTGGCCAAGAGGATCATCAAAAATTTGCTCCCACGTGAACTCCATCCTGCTGCATCAAGGCAGACCACCAGGAATTCTTAGAATCTCTAGGGATTAAGGGGAAAGGATGGCAGGATACAAAGGTTTGAGAGAAAAGGGCAAAAACTATACAGTAGCTAGAAAATAAGTCCCTAGAAAAATAGGAAAGTGGAGTGAGGCGTGAGGCAATGCATAAAGGTCAAAATGTGATGTGATGTGATGTGAAAAAGGCACGTTAGATGAGTAACTATCACTGGTTAAGCTTCCAGCAGCCAGGAACACCACGCCACCTGGCATGGGTAAAATTAACCCACAGGATCTTCAGGCATCTACCTGATAGACAATGGTTTAACCTACATAGTTAACTAGACGTTAAGAGCTCTGGACATTTTGACCAAGCAACCTGGTGTCAAAAACCTGCCTACTTTGATGACATGAACAACATACTCCCAGTAGAAAACACTACTTAACCAGAAAGTTAAAGAAATAAGCATTCCCAATAGCCTCTCACAAATATTTGACTAAGTAACTAAGGTCAATCCTCAATGTAAAAATTCTGAATCATGGTCTTGCTGCATTGGAACACGAAAATGCTCACTTTAAATCCATTCCATACACAGCTGTAATATATAGTGAACTTCTCTAATGGGTAATTCTAAGGGTTTAAAATTGTTTGCATTTTTTTTAGCTGTAAAGCATCAATACTTCTGCCATAAACTATAGCACAGTCTCAAAACTAACAGATCTTTTAGGTGGTTTCATTGGTCTCTGCAGGGTATTGTCACACATTCAACATCTTCAGCTCTTGATACTGAAGTAGGAATGTGGATGGCACAACCAGGACTCTTACAAATTGCTTAGATTTTTATTTTGTTTTTAGATTCTTTTTACTTACATAGTGCTTTTCTAAAGAACATCTACTGTGTGGCACTAAGAAAGCTGGGTGGAGGCTGGGTTTCAGCCAGGGGAGCAATGACTGGCAAATATTTCATTTGCAGCTGTGTGGAATGCTGACTAAGCAGCATACCTTTCATTCTTCAATGTGACTGAAAACAAAACTTTCTACGCTCTTAAATCCCTAAGAATTTCCTGACTGAATTTAAATACTGGAGCAAGATCCTGAAAGCAGTTACAGAATCAACTTTCTCAGGTCATCTTTCAAATGGGCCAGTGGTGTAGGTACTGTCCTACCTGAAACGAAGGAAGTCCAGGTACTTTCTAATTCCGGAAATCTACAATAAAAGGGTGATGCTAAAGGCAACAAAGGACGAACGGTCTCAAAGTCAGCATATCTTGGTATTTGGGTGTCCAATATTTTACACTGCAAAATTTCTTATTAAAAATCATTCATCAGGCCCGGCCAGGCATGGCTCAGTGGTTGAGCAGCAACCTAGGATCCAGGAGGTCGAGGTTTGATTCTGGGTCAGGGCACATGCCCGGGTTGCGGGCTCGATCCCCAGTCAGGGGCATGCAGGAGGCAGCTGATCAATAGCTCTCTCATCATTGATGTTTCTTTCTTCCCTCTCCCTTCCTCTCTCTGAAATCAATAAAGACATTTTTTTTTTAAAGTCATTCACCAGGAATGAATGACTACAAGTAGAGATGGCCTCTATTTAGCAGCAAATTTTTCATATTTTACCATGAAAAATCGCTTGCGAGTAAGTTTTTAACGAACTTATTCATGACTAAGCATTTGTTTCATATTCTAAAATAACCTTGTATCAAAAAAGCATACTTCCAAGATAAATGATTACAAAGCACTTTGGTATATAATGTAGGTATGTGAAACAGGCTCCACTCCCACTGCATCAATAAGAATAAATGTGAACTGAGAAACCAGATCCAGTGCTAAGTTCTGCACTGCACAACACTAAAAATCAGAAACCAGCAAATACCCTTATTGCTTCCATTAATTTTCATATGCAGTTTAAAGCAAAAATAAAGACTGAAAACAGAAAATAGAAAAAGTGTTGTTATAATAACAGGAACAGCAAAACTTCAGTGAATATAAGAGTCTAAAACAGAAAATGCAACAAGAATAGAAAAGTCAACTTGTACTTAAACAATGCTTTCAAAACTGAGTTTCCTAAACAAGTACCAAGACCAAATGTAATTTTTCAAATGACACCTAAGGGTCTTCAAGATCAAGTTCTCACAACCCAATCGGTAACAATGGCACTGACATGTACTTATAAAACGTATGAAAGACCTGGCCATGTTCACAGGTACCACTATACTTCTTTGAAATATATGAGGATTCAAACTAAACAACATGAGACAGGCAACATTTTAACATTTACCAGAAAAATGTACATGGTGCACATTTTAAACACAATGGGCGCAGCACACAATTGTCAATTTTGGCTGAAACTAAAGCAAACATCCAAACTTCAATACACATGCAGCGGAACCCGACGCACCAAGGTGAGCACATTCAAACCACTGTGACCCGCATGGAAACAGGTCACCTCTGAACACTCTCCAAGAGGCCAAACTTCCTATACATTTGGCAAAGGGAGCGACGTTTTAAAAATATAACCTAGATGCCTTAGCTCCTGAGACCATCTCTGAAAATAGCTGATAAGTTTCACAACTGCTACACAAAAAATTATTTTTGAGAAATACTGAATTTTTTTTTTATAAATCAGACTTATAAAAAAAGTCACCCTTAGTAATAAAAAAAACTGCTCCATATGCTTAAACTGTTTTAGAAACATACAGCAGTATCGCTTAAGAGAAAACAGATATAACATAACTTTCTAAATATACAGAACAAAAATGCCATCATGCGAACAGAATTCTGTTCCAGAGGTACCTGAAACAAACCACTCAGCCTAGAGCCATTCCTTGGGAAATGGAATCTCTTAAGTACGGCTATTATCAGTTTAATGATATCAAGAACTGTCAAATTTTAGTGCAGAATCATCTTGGAACTCACCTACATGGAACCTCCGATTACAGAGAAGATGACCCTGAAGGCAGGACCTTGCCCAAAGCTATTAGGCAGTCCCAGGCCTCCTAGCTCCAGGGTCATTGCTCCTCTGAGTCCATCCTGCTTGGCTTCTATCATGTGGATCCAAACTTGTCTACACACTGACATGATCTAAGGAGCTTCAAAAAAATATTGATATCTGTGCTCTACTCCAAATTTGTGATTTAATTTGTCCTGGCCTCTGAAATTTGTAAAAGATCCCCAGGTAATTCTAAGATGCTGACATGTCTGGGACCTTGTCCGACAGAACTTATCCGACAGAAGAATTTCACCTCTGTAAGTTCCTGCCCCCCTTATCTAAAATCAATAATTATAGTCATATTAGTGACCATCATTTTTGGCTGCTTCCAATTGCTAACAACCTATCCCTACGGCCTTCAAGTTTACTGTTCCTAATCCATGTGGGCTTTTAAAAAATCTGCTAACCAAACTTGTTAAAACTGGATATAAAATAAAAATAAATCTGTGCTGGGTGAGAATCAGGTCCTTCATTTGCCTACACTTTGGTGTAGTTATTTTAGCTTCTCGAAAGCCTCTGTCAGGTGCAGGCACTTTGGAAAAGTTAGACAATTTCTTACAAATTTAAATAAATGCTTATTAAACAACCCACGTACGCTACTTGTAGATACTAACCTAGGACACGTGAAAGTATGTGTTCAGACAAAGAACTGAATGTGAATGCTTATAGCAGCTCATTCATAATCATCAAAACTGGAAACAATGCAAACGTCCATCAACAGGGAAACGGATAAACTGTGCTCCATCCATAAATAAAATACCAATACCACTCAGCAATGAAAAGGCGCAAACCAGGATTACAGTAAGTGAAAGCAGCAGACAGAAAATGCTACATACTTTGTGATTCCCCTTACTTGACATTCTGGAAAAGGCAAAACTATTGGACTAAAATCAATGACTTCCAAGGGCTGGGGCTGGGGGAAGGGAACAGACTATAAAGGGGTCCAAGGGAATTTGGGGGGATGGTGACTGTAGTGGTCATTACACAACTGGATATATGTGTCAAAACTCATCAAACTCTATATCTTAAAAGATGAATTTTAATGTATATAAAGTATACTTTCATAAATCTGACTTGAAAAAACAGAAGCTATTACATATTTCCAAGTTTCTGACGGTCCTCTGAATTTCCTGTCCCTGTAGCTACAGGAGTATGTGTGTGTGTATCTGTATCTCTTCATATGCATATGTATACAGACATATGTATACAGAGTTATATAGTTATATATATAAATAGGAGATTCTGGCAGAGCTGCAAAAGGGGAAATGAACCAACTTGAGAAGTAGAAAGTTACCTGTCACTTAAGGTATTCAAACATAGACTGGGCAACCATTAAGATACCTTCTTAATGGGTGTGGCTCAGGGGTTGAGCATCGACCTAGGATCCAGGAGATCAAGGTTCAATTCCCGGTCAGGGCACATGCCCGGGTTGCGGGTTCGATCCCCAGCAGGGGGCGTGCAGGAGGCAGCCGATCAATGACTCTCATCATTGATGTTTCTAGCTCTCTCTCTCTCTCCCTTACCCTCTCTGAAATCAGTAAAGACATATTTTAAAAAACCAAAACCTTCTGATTCTGAGAATATACAACTTGAGCAGCTGTAGAACTTGGAGGACCAAAGTTTTGTGCTTTATTTCAGTTGTATGAGTTAGTGACCCAGCCACATTCTTATTCAAGATCCTCTAAAAGTACTTTGTACTTAGGATTTTCAAACTTCTTGCTCTTTTTTTCAGAACAAAATTTTGGTAACGTTTCCATTTTTTCAATGTTTTAAAATGCAATTTCATTGTGTTTCTCCATCATCCCTTTGATTCTGCTGCTGACTGATAATTTGGAAATCACTTACTATGAAACGGCTCTTTTCAAGGATTATGACCAGGTAGTTCAAAGAAAGGGCCTACAAAGACATTGGCCTAGTAGAATGACATACCAAAGCATGAATTCATATGAACCTAGTTTTTAAAATGCTAAAGAGTTACAAAGGCCGTTATTAATTATTTTTCCCCTTCAAAGACTGGGAGCCACATGAACAATGGTGTCAGCAGAGATACACAGATGACATACTGAAAAAAGACAACGGAAGGAAAACAAGAGCATTGGGTATTTTCAACCGTTTACATTCATAGTGTGATAAAAGGAATGTCACACTTGCAGCAAACCTCTATTCACCTAAGTGAAAATGATGTTCCTTTCAGTCATCTGTTTGCCAATCTTTATGTATAATAATATACAACTAGAACTTTTTGCAGGTTACTTTGCCAATCTTTGGAGACTGTTTTTATTGAAATTTCCCTGAAATTAGAACAACTACCTCCTAACTGCTATATTTTGGAATATTCCATAAGATCTCCTTTATCTTGCAGGAATTAAAAAAAAGGAAATCTACTCAACCAAAAAGTCAAAAATTTCAAACATAGTGTTACCATTTTACAACAATAGTTTCTGTTCTCGCCATTAAAAATTTCATAATTAGAATATACATATTTGCAATAATATACTGAGATTTCACATTATCTGTTCATGTAGTTCTTAAAACACATTATGATATTATGTTCATACAACTGGTTAACAAACAGAAAAAACAAAACATAACTCACCAGATTAAATCCCAGAAGATATCACTGTACAATTTCCAATGAGTCCCAAGGGAACACAGGCATAATAATTTTTCTGCTCTATTCCAGATACTAAACATGAGATACAAAAATAAACCTTTAATTTAACAAGTAACAAAACTTATAAAGCAATTATACCAATTCTAACAGCAAAACAGGATGAAACTAGCAGGAGGTACTAATACCAGGTACAGATTATACAGGATACAATAGTAATTAATTTAATTAAAGTAATTTTGAATTTGTTCAGCTAAATTAAACCTCAAACATTTTATCAAGCTTGTTCCACTGTGTTCTGCTGCTTAAGCTCTACCTAGAGACTAAGAATAGCTACCTGGGCTAAATCTTAGAGATTTAAATGTTGGTTCCACCACCTGAGTTCTACTTATTCATAGGTTCAATAGACTCACAGTATCCTATAAAAAAAATAACCTGAGGCTAGGGTCAAAAGAGCAGGTCCTAGCCCTAGTCTTGCTAAGAACTCTGCCTCTTGACCTTGCACAAAGAGCAATGTTTAATTTGAGGACAACAGCATCCTTCCTCCCTCATACAGTAGTTATGTGGATCAACTGAGATGAGGAGGGAAACGAATGTGCTCTGCATGCTGCAAAGCCCTTTATGATGTGTGATGTTATTATGCAATTAATTTCTGGTATCTACTCATTTTAGCCATAAAATAGCAACAATAAAAATCCTTCATAAGACTGCTGTGAGGCAAATGATTAGAAGGCTCTTGGAAAACATTAAAAACAAAACAGAACACCTTGAAAAAGCACTCCTTTAGAGTTATCACACTGCTAGAGGTTTCTAGCATTTCCTGTGTGCCTTCCCCTCTTACCTGGGGAGGTAAAGGTGTAAGAGAAAACTCCCAAGGTCCTTTCCACATGTAAAGGTTTCTTTGGTTGTCGGGTTTTCTGTTGTTGTGTTGAACCTTGGGGTAAGGGGAGCCTCAAAGGAACCCCACGGACACATTTTACCTACATAGGTGCAAAGAGCCAGAAGTGGCAACAGTCCCGACAATACACAGCAAGGGAAAGGGGAAGGAGTTTGTCACTTTATTACTTTCCTTACCAGCCCAGAAGAGCTTTATTCAAAGGAAATGCACAGTCACTGAATTAAAGGTATTTGCTTTCATAGCTTAAGAAACTGGAAAAGCTCATGCACCAAGAATTGTCATTCCAAGAAACTAAAGTGTTTCAGCCTTTGGAACTTTAGATTTAGGTAACACACTCCCTTTCATTTCTTTTGCCACAAACTATTTTCAAATTGGGTAACCAAGAAACCTAGGTAATTAAGACTTGGTTCTACCTCACCAATGAAGACTCTGGTTTTAACATAAAGTGAACTGTAATGTAACAATGGTTACCTAACAATAAAAATTTCTATTTAAAACAATCCAGTGCATCCCAAGGGAACACAGGCATAGTAATTTTTCTGCCAAAGGATTTCCCCAATACTAATGTAAGTTCAAGTTGATTTCTTATTTAAGTAAACAAATTTTTAATAGGGAAGAGATATAAAAGGAAACTAACATTTTGAGCACCTTCTACATGGTAAATGCTATACTCCATTTAATCTTAACTACTACTCCATGAGGAAAATATCCCCACTGAAAAGTATTTGATCGAGTAATACTGAGAGTCAGAGCAGGAATCTGAGCCCCAAACCATCTGACTCCAAAACCCACTGACATGGCTTTAGATAGGCAAGTTCATTCCAGATTTGAAAGTACAGAAGCCTTAGAGCAATTATCTAACTCTTGCAATGGAGCTGATGTGGAAGTTTAGGAAATGGTCAGTAATTTCATAGTAAACAAAGCGTAGTAACTGATTATCCCTATTATGCCAGTGCCAAGCCAAAAATAGAATATAAACAGAGTCCGAGAGAGCCACAGAGGGCAAAACCAAGGTGCAGGAGCTCTGTTTCATTTCTCAGTTTTTACTCATTTCTGACTCTGCTTACTGTTTCGTAATCGCCTGCTATCCATGCACAGGTACTAAGAAGACAATGAAGAAGATAGTGAAAAAGAGAAAAAAAATTAAAAGAACAAGGCCAGAAACTACTGAAAGAATATTCCTTCTTTAAGAGATTGCCTATAAAAAAAATCCAATAAAACATTATAGTGACCCCTCTCCCATTAGAAACAAACGTTGTAATATGAAAGTTCCCAAAATATACTTTTGAAATAACATTTTTAGAATATTTTAAAAATTGATAAAAACTCTTGCACTTGATTCTGGCCAATGTTTTGAACATGAAGGCTTGGCAAGATATCAACGGGTCTCCTCTCAAAAACAATCGGCAGGAAGGGAAACAACTCACGTGGAATTCTTACAAGACAGACTAAATGCTGCATAGAAAAAACAAACAGAGCAGACTGCAGTATGTAACGCTTTCAGCTATAAGCAGCTGACACAAACAGAAAGCCCTGTGATACTATCCTACAACCAGGGAAAATAGGAAAAATTAAGCATGGTCAAGTGCTGCCCACCGGCCTCTGGATAGGGAAACCATGAGTGATTAAGCAAAAGACGCCCAACATTTGACTGCAAATGAGGCTTCTACAAATAGAAAAGTTTGCAAACATCAACTAGCAAGTGTGTCACATTTCTCAGGCAAGATGATAGATATCATCAGAGGTAAATCAAGAAGAATGTCCTTCAAAAGAAGAGTGGCCACAGGTCTCAGGTCAAAGCCACCAGTGCCCTAGCATAATTACTTACAGCACCCTCTTTATGGCTCAAAAGTGTCCCAGTCTGGCAATTACCCTGTTGTCCTACTCAAAAGTAATATATAACAAGGGAAAGGCAATGACTTAAGGAAGGAAGGGAGGGAAGGAGGGAGGGAGGATCCTCTGCTTGCATAATGGGTTCTAATACAAGTCTGAGGAGTATCTGTTTGGGTGAATCCACTCAGCCATTTAATTATTCATTTCCTCATTCAGTCATTCAATAACATTTCAAGTCTTATCATGCCCCAGCACTGTACATGCACTGGGGCGAATACAAAAAGTAAAGCTTGAAGCTAGGTGAGAGGGAAAGACAGACATGGGAATACATAAATCTGATATAACAATAAACCTGAATGGCACTGGGAACCCAGAGAAAGGAGTGATTTTCCCAAAACTACAGAAAGCTCCACATGGAAATGTTTAAGCCCGCACAAAATCCCTACATACAAAAAAGCCATAAAACTCAGGCTTCAGCATAGATCTAGTAACAAAATAGCAATAAGAAGAAATTTCACAAAATCTATCACTTCCAAATCATTAGGCTATAAATGTGAAGGTCAGCACATAGTCCTTGTGAATTTTGGTAAATGAATCCCGCTAATCATTAAAGATTATATTATGAAAAATGATAAATTTTAGGCAAAGAAAATCGATAGAGTAGAAGTTATGGGTTCTAATTCTAGCTCTCAAAACACACACAAAAATGGAAACAGGTAGTACTTATCAGAGTGGCTATTTGAGAAGAAACCAATAATGAAAACCACCTGGCTGGGGGGGATAGCAATTTTTAAAAGATCCATTGAGACTAATGAAAATATTTTGCAACCACTAGTCTCAAAGATAACTCTAAAAACACTAAAGGAGAGGACCAAAACATCTCTCAAGTATAAGAATGCTGAGCAGAAATAAAATGATTTAATAACACATATGATGAAAACAAAATGCTTAGCTGTGCATACATGCTCATTTTAGAGTTTACTTCAAAATAATCTTACTTTTTCATTTGCAACTCATAAAATGTAATCATCAATAATTTTTAAGAAGAGTTAAATAGGGTGTGACTTTTCTGAAACCATCCTTGACCTTACAAACAAATCATTAACCTCACCAACGTGGTAAGACAACCCATAACGGGTTCAGTAAGACAAAAATGTGTTTCTGTAGTATCAGCTCTTTCAATAGTTTTACTATCAGTTATTTTAATGTGTTTCTTTTAAAATCAGTTCATTTTCTATTTCTGCTAGTAGAAATTAAAGCTAGATTATCAATATCTTATCATTAGGTGAAATCATCCTTCTACCTATTTTAGAAAAAAATTCAGTTTCACTACAAATAAGACTAAAGGTTAATTAGAACTGCAGGTCTACATGCTGTCTTTACAAAAAATCTGCCTTTTTGGAAGCATAACCGAAATGGGACAGGTGTACACAATGGAATTGGCTAAACTTCCAGATGAAAGCTTAAAACTAAGAATATGTTTTGGTAGACAGGTGACAAAATCAGAGTTCTCTCTGGAATAGAAGACCTGACCACCCCCTTACCCCCAAGAATAAAAATTTAAATCCTTTATATAAAGTTTTGTTATCCCCACAACACTAAATACTTAAGTGTTAATGTGCACAACACCTCTCCAAAGTATATAAAATTACACAGAGAAAGTAAATAAATTCACTGACTATATGCAAAGTCAATAAATACTCTATGTCTTATATCCTGGAATAGTTACTACTAAACACTCTTATTCGCTTATAAACTTTTGGCAGAAACATATTCTTATCAAATCAAGAGGCCTCTGGGATCGTTAATCCTTATATTTCATTTTGGTCATTTTCTTAACTTTATAATGCACACAGGCATATAATAAAACACTGAGAAACCTATGAAACATTGATTAAACATAATTGTGTAAGCATAAATCATAATGTTAAGTTAAAGTACCAAAAGCTTCTGCAATAATAACCAGTACTGCATTTTAAAATAACTGGGGACATAAACTTGGGAAGAGGTCATTTCTATCCCTCTAGCGTTTTACCTGCTCTGCAGGGTTAAAATCAAACCAGCCAACTAACTCTAAATTGTAGGGTGGCTCATCTGAAAAAAGAACGTCAACTGAAGTCTAGTAACGTCAGAAATGTTGTGCAAGAATTGTTCTTTCGGGTAGGAGTAGCAAGCGCACTATAAAACGCTTCTGCCTCCATTCCTCCCATTCCTCAAACGATGAAAAAGTTCCCAGCCCCGGTTTTACCTGTGCGCCACAGCCGTGCCCACTCACACTCACCATCTTTGCCTGACACAAATTACGAGCCCACTGCGTGCAGGCTGGCGCGGGCGACGCGGCGGAGAGACCCCAAGGCCGAGGAACACTTGCGGGGGACAGGACCGGCCGCCCTTCCCGCCGTGCTCCCGGCCCCTCCCTGGCAGAGGTTTGCAGATTCCACCACTCGAGTCTGGCAGCCGCACAATGGGGCCTCCCGCTCAAGGTCTGACTGCCGCCCGCCAGGAAAGCCCTTTCCTCCGCTTCCCACCCGCCCCAAAGTCCACCCGCGACAGGTGGGGCGAGGGCGGCGGTGCCCAGCGACATCTGCCGCTTTCGCTTCGGGCCAGCACCCG